AAAAAAAGTCAGAATTCTGAGATTTAAGTCAGAATTCCTTTTTTTCATTTTTTCAGTGGCCCTAATCCTCTTACGTACATTTATTTATTTATTGGTCCATTTATATATTTCTGCTTTTAGTTCTCAGTTTCGGTCCTCCATAGTAACGAGGGCGTTGCTTCTGTCAGTCGTGGTGAAGAAAGTTGAGTCAAAAGGYAAAACTCRGTTTACTGGTCCGTCTACATYCCAACTCTCACCGATGGCCATGAGATTTGGATCCTGACAGGACAAASATCCCAGACCCCAGCAGATGAAATGAGCCTTCTTCGTAGGAGCTCCRTCATCCGGGGTGAGCTCAGAGTAGATCAGCTGCTTCTTCACATCGAATGAAGTCAGTTTGGGTGGTTCGGACATCTGATTAGGATGCCTCTCTGGAGGATTTCTGGGCACGTCCCACTGGGAAAAGGCCCCAGGACAGACCCAGGACTTGTTGCAGTATCGATACCAAGATGAGCATTAGGATCACCTATTGCTGTCATATATCTAGAGAAAGGATGGGTTTTATTGTGATGGTAATTGAAACTGTCGTGCTTTTTTTTTTTTGCGACACTACTCATTTTTCGTTTCTTGTATGATCTTGTTGCAGTGGGTTAGTTTATACTCTCTGACCAGATTATGCACCATTTGATGAGACCATTCTTCAACTGAGTGATCACTTTTCAAGTCTTTGCTCTAATAGCCAAGGATGACGGTGTCCAAACACATTAAAGCTCTGCAAACATCACAATTCCCCATTCTGCTTCCTGGTTTTCTCTGGTTCTTGTTCTTAAATTTATTTGTTTARTTTCATTCTCGTTAAGCACCCATCCGTCATACTGTTGCCCCAGTAACTTCTTGGGAGGCCTTCTAACAAGCTTAAAGTAAACTGGATTAGATAGCATTAAAAAGTCTCTCTCTCTCTCTCTCTCTCTCTCTCTCTCTCTCTCTCTCTCTCCTTACAAGCCATCTGCCTCTCTACCTGAGCCAGGAGCTCTACTCCCTGCTCTGTGACATACACCTTTTCATAGCTGCAGAGGGAGACAGATTGTTTGTTTTCTCGTCAATATTTTTTGCATCTGGAGAATTTTAAGCTATGCCAGCTTGTAAGCTGCTGTTGCATCACATGAGAGGAAACCCATATCTGCTTTCTGAATCCTTGGATTYAAGCAGGATTTAACATGAGCAACACATCCTGGAGAAGCCTTTTCTGCTCTGCTCTCTTGAGTGCAGTCATATTCCTGGACAGGCAGACAGGTATGTATCAACAATAGATCAACTGTTCAATGCTTTTRTTTTTAACTTATTGAAATTAATGTCTGTATCAAAGCTGCAACCCTGGAAGGCTCCTCTATGGGAGACCCAGGTGGACCTTACTCTCAGGAGCCCGAGGCATTCCCACACATCATTCGAGTGTCTGACGTGAAGGTGTCCAATGAAAGCCACGCAGTCATGGCTCGGCAGAAAAGGAACACCTTTTTTCAGAGTGGACTCCGACTTTGTGGACAAGAGACAGCTGAGCAAGTTGTTTCACAACATCTGAGTTACTTTCACCTCAGAGGTAAGATTCAAGTCAAACAACAGGAAGTCAAAATAAAAGCCCTTTAACAAATGGTACTAGATTGTCCTCTGTGTCCCCTGTGTGCAAAGAATTACCTGCTGCAGCAAATGATGTTTACTTTTGTTGCATAATTGGATCTGTGTGTGTATGGAACAATGGCTAAAAGCTTCTGTGGACCATTTTTAGATTRGAGTAGAGGACTTGCAGATGGAGTGTGGTCTACTCGGAGTCTTTTTACGTAAATTACAAACCAGGTTTTCTCACTTGAGCTACATTTTTCATCATTAAACTTGTTCTAAAGCCCCACAGGATTCTGCTTTATTAGTGTGACTTGAATCATTCCATCAGACTTAAATARTAAAAATCAAGTTCATTAAGCTGATTTCGAATGTTCAAAAAGTACAATTTCAATTATTTTAAGCAAATGAAAAAATTCCCTTCAACCATGTAACAGCAGAAACTTATCCTAATCTTTATGTGTACTGAAGCTTACTTTTAATTATATTTCATTGTTTTTACTGTCAAATGTAAAGGGTGATTTTTTGTTTTGTTTTTATAGTAGATTTTTAAAAATTTTAAGCATTTCATTGTTTTATATGCCCTGTTTTTACTTTGTTTTCTATTTTCTGCTTTTACTTGTTTTNTTTTAAGCATTTCATTGTTTTATATGCCCTGTTTTTACTTTGTTTTCTATTTTCTGCTTTTACTTGTTTTATTATCTGCTTTTATTTTTTCTGTGTTTTTACTGCATTTTTGATTGAATATGTTTTATGCATGAGCTGTGTTGGAATGTTGATTCTGTACAGCACTTTGGTCTGCTGTGGTGCAAAAAGTGCTTTACAAATGAATTTGGATTGGACTGGATGATGGTTTCGCTTGTCTACAGATATTGAGCTAAGATGTGCGTGTGGGCGACTGAGAGTAAATCTCATTCGAGCATTACACATGCAAAACTGTTAGTCAACATTGTTAGCAAAATATTTTATGAGCCATTGGAATTTTAATGAAAGCAATCATAGTACAACAACTCATTAACTTTTAGAGTCACTCTGATCCAAGATGGCCAACACAACTAATCATTAGCAGCAGAAAAATGGCTGCAGCTTTGTCAGATCATATACGCTACTCTAACACATCTTGTTAGATCTTGCATAATGTTATTTTTAAGATTTGGTCTAAGCGGCTATAACGCTATTTCTTCTCATCACAAGATGATCTTAACTGAAAACTCGGACATGAAAGGCAATTGTGATATGTATTCCTTCAAAGAATGTCAGGATTTTAATACTATTTTTACAAGTACCAGCAACTTGTTTATTTTTAAAGTAATTTACTTTGGTAAAATACACAACGAACTGGATAACAGAAAATTTGTCACAGCATGATGTAAACAGAATATGCAATAGTCACAGAAAAATGAACAAATATGTRTATCTATATACCTATACCTATCTATATCAACTTTTTAGGATGACGATACATTTGTTGATATCACAAAGTCTGTCACGAAACAATTTCGATTCAATTTATTTCACAAGTCTGTGACTGATATGCAATATCTTATGTTCATCTAACATAAATTATTGTGTTAGATGGGCTTACGATATTGATCCACATCGGGCATATAATGACGATATGGATGATTTTTTCCCCATGATGTAGATGAATCATTAATCATTTAATCTATATACTGGTGTGGATCGATGTAGAGTTACATCCCTTGTTGTTATTGTACTGTAGGAAAAAAACCGGACCAATTAGACACGTCCCTGATTATACAACACAACAAATGTATCTGCTTGTATTCGACAGCACCAAGGTCACAAAATCCTCAACTTTGTAGAAATCCAGTTCTAATGTGACCATTAACCTTCACCCTGCATCAGGGTTGTCTGCAGACATTCATTCTTTTTAAAGGTCTTCAGCTCTTTGAAGAAACTGTCCTCTGTTTCAATAGTTATTCTGAAGTTTTGACTTATTTTCWTTTGGCCTTGCTTACTTGTTTGGTTTGGCTTCTTGGCCACAATTGCTCCATGAAAACCATTCCCAATCATATTTGTCCAGAATGTAGACTGGCCTGATGCACTTGGGTTTTACAAGTTTCTTCCATTCTGAGCTGATGGCACAGCTGAAAGCCTTGGAAACAGTATCTGGTTTCCAAAGAAAGTAAACATAATGCATCACATGCCAAATGAGGTTTCTTGGCCAATCATTGAGTCTGTGGACCTCAGTGTTTTTCTTTTCTGCTTCTTTTAGGAGACTTAATGATTTATTAGAAGAATCTTATGTCTTGTTGCTGAGCTCACTGTAATGCTTGACCTGATTTTGACATCTACATCCTTAGCTTGATACTAGACTTCATCTATTCCTCACCCAGTTTCAGTTTCACTTAATGAGTTTTGTTTTAACCCACATTTAATAAGAATGTTTGGAATAAACCCCTGACCATAACCCTTGTAAATTACTGATTTTGTGCAGCTGTGCACCTAGAAGACTTGATGATGTTTGAAGGCAAAATGTAGTTACTTCAAATACTCTTTTGTTTTATATTATAAAAAAAATAATGAGTATTACCAAGCTTTGCTGGTTTAGTTTATGAAATTTATGTCTTTGGTCTGACCAGTGTGCCAGGAGACCATWTGGGAGGCTTTCAAGATCTTCTGGGATCGAGTCCCTGAGCAAAAAGAGTACCAAAGCTGGATGAGCCAGTGCCAGGATGGTGCAGTCACTGCACAGGATATCAGCAGATACTTTAGTCAATCAGAGGAGCACCAGGCTCTGGTTAAATGGGTGAGTAGACTGATGACCTAACAAGTGATAATCTAATCCCATTATATCTCTGTKGCTTATATCAAAGCTCAAAACATTGTTCTGTGTTTCCAGAGAATGTCACATGCAGGTCCTAACAGGTAAAGGASTCGCTCCGCTTGTTATCTGTGTGACGTTTCACAGAAACATTTTTTATCTCATCAAAAAAAGTCTGTGTTTTGTAAATGTGTCATTCTTCCTGCTGTCTGTAGTGAGCCCACCAGGTCCTGGCAGCATATGTGCAGGTGAGGTTGTCAAAGTTCTTCAACCTTACCTGTTCATATTCCTACTAATCAGTGATCAAACATGACTTCAGATCTCTCACCTTTGATATATCTGGATCCGTGTTCCATTTTAATAGTGTGTCTTAGTTATAGAYGCAGTTCTTTTTAGATTGGATAAACTTTATGGGGTGTTTGTTATACTTTAAGTATAATTTGCAATAATAATAATAATAAACTGAATATACACAATTAATTAATGCAGTCATAGAGTACATCATCAACAACAACAACAACAAAATAAAAAGCAAAGACTTGCAGTCACAAAATAGAGTTTATATTATTTTAATCCTAGAATTTTATAACAAGAAAAAAGAATCGGGTCTTTACCAGGTTTTAAACATATTCCGATCTCATTACTAGTGTGCAAAAATACACAACAGATAT